GCAATCAGAATACATGACAATTCTATGAGCTATTTGGCTTATGTCATTCACTCGCACACATACACACACACTTTCAAACACACATATAAGTTTATCTGATAAATATTACATTCATATTTAGAGAATCACTTCAATAAGTGATTCTACTATTCTGTTTACATAAAGTTTAAATATTTCTAAGGGTCCTCTATATTATCTTTGAGCAGCTTCTTCTTCAGTCTTCTTGAAGTTGGTGTCTCAAGAAGCCATATAATTATTATTATATTATATTATTATTATATTTTTTATAAAATTATAAATTATACTATGCACAGTATGTATTTGTATTTTAGAACTTACTATATTCAAAATAAAAATATTATATAAAATTAATTATGGTTTAAAACTACTAAAGATACGTCTGAGATACAAACATTATTTACCTGTGAGCCAACTTGAAAATCTCTTAGCACTATTAACTTAGCACTCTCAGCAGAGTTACAAAAACCGCAAAAAATCGCAATATTTTTTTACATCATTCAATATCCTCAGGTCATTTTTGCATACCTTGTAAAAAATTGATTGGCTGTGTAGTATGTAAATATATTCGAATACAAAGTTTGTGCGAGTTTTCAAAAGAACAAATCAACCGATCTGAATTATTCGTAAAATCTATAAATCTAACTATGTAAAAAAGGGCATTAGCTATTAGAAAAGGTAGATCAAATATTATCATTTTTTGAATTAACATCGAAATGCCGGAATTTTGTATATGATAAAAAGAAATATTATTATTGTGTATAGTTTCATTCGAAAATTTCGTTTCCTTACAAATAAAGATGTTTCTTCATTATCTTTTTATTTTAAGCAAACATCAGCTTTTTAACAAAATTTGGTATTTGTGATGAGTCAAAATTTGGTATTTTGTATGAAAAATGCTAAGTGTTAACTAAATTTTAGTGCAAAACCACTAGGGTTTGTAGAAATTATCGGGTTCCGACGTATGAAGAAAATTAAAAAAAAAATTGAAATGATGAATTAGCCAGATAGATGAAAACTAAAACACTGTTGCAAATCGAGAGCTGTCTTTCGTTACACTATTATAAGAATATTTCGAATCTTGTATGTAAAAATAGAGCATAAACAACGAATAATTAATTGTTTCGGTAGTTATTCAATTCAGTCAAATATTATTTCTTGTTCTACTGGATTGCAAAAAAAAATTTTTCAACAAAATTGTATAGTAGATAATTTCAAGTAAAAACTGCTTTTAAGAACTCGTAACTTTCTGGCAAAATTTTATTTTGTAATTATTTGAGCAAATTGTTTTTTTAAATTAAACTCAAAACCGTTTACACCAATATTTCACAACAGATACTATTCGAAAATCGTTTTTCTAAAACAGATTGATTGAGGAATATCTTTATCTTTGTAACAAATTGTTTTTTAGACGACTCTTCTAAAAAAAATTTTTTTGATATTAATTTTTGTTAAAATTCACATAGAGACCAACGTTGTAATGCTAATTTAAGACCGATTAATATGGAATATTTTTTAATTGGTTTAAAAATAATTGATTATCATCTTCAAGCATTTTTATGCCCTTTTCTTCTAGTTCATATTATTATATTATGCTCGCAGTTCGCCGCCGCTGACAACACTCAAATTATAAATCGATAACGTGCGCACTCGTTTTGTTGCTGTTTTCCTTTTTAGTCGCTATATTTTTTTGCAGGTGAATATTTCATGACCGAGCATTTGTGATATCTGATTAGGCATTGTATTGTGTGCGCAGAGAGACCGAGCTGCGCGCTTTTCATACGACCAAACAACACATTGTTCTTCGAGAAACTTTGAATAGCATTTGCGATGGCTAGTTAATTAGAAAGAAATAATAGAGATGGCAATTTGTACACGATTTTATTTTGTTTCGGACTACACAATACCCAAGGCCCTGCATGAACTAATAGGGCGAAAACCATATGCAACCCAACTCCCACGCTGCTAGGACTATCGAGGAAGAGACCAAACTGTCCAATCGAAAATGAATTAAGTCGCATAATGTTAAAACGCCAACTTCCTACATATGTAATACTTATGAACAATTAATTAAACAAATGAAGCATAATTCACAATGCAAGGAATAAATATTTGTAAATTTCTTAAAGTTAACACACAGAACGCATATTGCAAGTACTGAAAATTGCGATATCCTCAAATTTTCTCCGATAATAATACTTGAATCATTTTTGAAATATCAATTAAAATTAATTTTGGTATCAAAATATCAATCCTCATTGATATATAGTACGGTTGATTCGTAGAATTAATAATAATGATCAACATAGAACATTTTGCAATAGAAAGCATGAACTTATAACAATACCTGTTTTAATAGTTATCTGTATCTTTTAATGATAATGTATAAATGAGTGATTACTTCAAGCCCTGACAAATAAAACTAAAAAATCATACTAAAACTTTAGGCTCAGCTAACTATTATTTTGAATTTCATCAATTTGAAAGTACACATAATCGATGATAAAGATGCGAACTTTTCATCGTGTAAGCTACTGCATAGTCAGCCGAAGCAATCTTTTGAATGAAAGTATTTTTTTATTACTAACCGGAAGAATTGTACTTTCAAGTAAAAAAAAGAAATTTGAAAAAATATTCAGTAGTTTTTCATAGCATTTTCTTGAACAAGTTTTTTGACAATATAATAAAAAGGGTTAAACCAGGTTAACGATGATGAGTTAGATAATTTAATGTCTTATTAAAATATTTTGTTTATTTAAAATGTATTTAATTTTAATTAAATAAAGGTTGAATTTGATATTTATAATCAATATCTATACATAAGTGTATTGAATCTTGCGATATCTTGCTAATTTGTTTCAGTGTTAATACTGATATTCGAATGTTATAAATTAGTAAATTTGAAAATTGAAAATGATTATTTTGAAATTGAAAATAAAGATACACCAGTGTTAGTATATCTTTGTTAATTGTCAGAATTTCTGAAGATTTATAATTATTATTCATAATCTAGTTTATATTATATACTTATTATATAGATAATTATTAGTTACAATATACTTATTTATAATCGCACTTATACGTATTTTTTTTAACCAATGATGGCTTCAAGGCTTTGGGATATAAGACAGAAGATTTGAACTATAAATTTAGACTCAAAAACTTTTTTTTTTCAAACATTCTCAAAAAAAAGGGTTTTGCAAAACTTTGCATATGGCATAAGATTCTTTCTGTTAAAATGGAAGTTCATAATCTGGACCATATATTTTGGAAGTGCCAAGTCAATAAAAATTGTTACTGCAGGAACTTTATAATTTTGGTATTATATTCTCAATCAATGGAACAATGGCTATGTTCACTAATGATAAAAAAAATTACAAAATATTAGTGAGTTTTTTTTACAAAGATATAATGTAAAGGTATAGACTAGTGAGAGATGTATTCACTGTTAAGTAGTTTTAAATAAGTACTTATACCTCATACATATTGAATAAATTTTATGAAATTTATTTCTGAAAAATGTAACCAGGGACTAAATGACCGACAGATCAAAAACCGTAAATAATAATAAAAAAAATGCTTATAAATACGTCTTTTAAAGGGCTTTTAGATGTTAAAGATACGTTATTTTTCAAATTAAGATAAATTGAGATCAGGTTAGGTGACGATAAGTTACATAATATATATTTACTGAAGTTAAAACTTCACTATTTAAGGAACTATATTATTTAAAAAATATGTTTTATTTGAATTATTAATTAAGGCACTTCTAGAGACTTATGTTTTGTCCTTGGGTGTTTTCAAAATTTTAATAATTCCTCAAAATGTTTTTCTTTTTTCTACTAAAGATTTTGTGTTACGGGTCTAATCCGTTCTAGAAACTCTATCGTTGCAATGAAAGTTTTCGAAACGCTGGAAATAGTATACCATTTCTTTAATACTAAAAATACACTATTGTTATATGTACATACTTCAGCTTTATGAATATTTTATGACAATTTTAAGGGGGTATTCTAGTGTAGAAATTCAAAAATATCGATTTTTTTTATTTCATATTTTCAAAGTTTAACTATCTAAAAATATGTGCACGAGAAGGTTTTTGAAAATTTGAATTATTAGAGATATAGGCATTTCACTAACTCGGTCTCTATACTGGTTTGGCTTCACGCAAAACTTTAAATGCGTTTTTCTCAGAACAGACTTTTTCAGTACTGTTGACACGATTTCTCGAGTTTTAATCGACCGATTCACTTGAAATGTTCAGAGAGTCTTGTTTATAGACCTATCTATAGCCCGAATTAGGATTATCCCCAAATTCCAATTTTTACTATGTTCAAACATTTCGAGAAACTCAAAAAAACAGTAAAAAAACACTTCTTTTCATACAGTCGCCAATTTGTAAAAAAAATTGTTTACTCATCGCTAGTTCGGGCAATTGCGACATCACTGTAGATTAATAATCTTTTTATTTTTTGCATTTCCGATGGCTAGGATAGCTGAAATCTTGTCAAGAGTGAGGTGCCAATTTTTTGAGAACACCCACTTCATCAACTGCCAGATTTTACAATTTTCAACTTTTTTATTTTTGTTTTGTATTTTAATAATATTAATAAACAAGTGGTAAAAAAATGGATAGTAAAAACATTCATTGCTTTCTTTTACGACACTTTAAAAATGACCTAAAATTCATCGCTCTACACTAGAATACCCCCTTAAAATTTCACTTAATAGATTTAACTATAATACACATGAATACACTGAATGAAGAAATTATAGCAAAATGTTTGACGTAGCAAACAAATGCACTCGATTTGAAATATATTAAAAATATCGTTTTGCGTAAAATTCCATATAACAAATATAACGCCAGTCATAAGTTTTCTACCACTGGCTTATGACGTACAGAAAAATGGAATTGCACAAAGAGGGTATAAATTTTCGCAACTACCGCCACCGCAACCGTCACCGCCCTCGGTACCTACCTCGCTCTCCTTCGGCGGGCGCTTCATTCGCTGAAAATGCATTTGAATTCTAAATGCGAAAAACGAAGTACCATATTTTTGAACGTGTCATGCAGCTAACTTCCGCATCTTATTTACTCCAATACGTACGAAGTAGCAAGGATAGCGACATCTGAAAAAAAATCGACATCAATATTTATTTACAATGTTTGTATTTAATGTTATGATTAATTATTATTATTTCATAGCCATATGCACACACATCCATAAAATATACATTGGTATACAATACACTTTTAGACGACCATGCAATTATTAAGTAAAATTTAGAGTTAGGTAATTTAAACAATTAATTAAACAAAAGTTTTATCTCAAGAATTCACGCATCTCCAATGCGATTTATGCAAGTTATTTAAATCCATAAACCCAAAAATAATTTCGTGAACCGTTCAGACATCATGTTCGGGCGTATTTTCGTTTTATTATGTTGGTCATGAAGGTGACAACCTTTAGGGCATTAAGCTTTACACGGAATGGTTGCTACCCCTGATAGAAGTGGTAGCGGAATGTTTTGATTGAACTAGTTGTCCACTTATAAAAGCCCGCGAAACAATATGTCTAATAAATAAAATAAAAATATATCTTCTTTCATTATAACTTAGTGACAAATAAGTGGTTGTAATTAGAACTGCAACAAATACATAATACACTAACAAATCAGTGTCTAATACAGTCCACAGCTACAAGGGAGAGTTTAATTCCATAACTACGTGAAAATACATCATTTAGTAGTATTTTGATTTTTTACTCATTTGTTTGTGAATTTTTCATAATTATGTATATTTATTTTATGTCTATTTTCTCTTAATTGTTTTAATGTTATTTTCTCTTAAATGTAAATGCTATTTTTTCTTTTTTGTTAACCAGTTTAACCCAACTAACTGCTGAAGTTTCAATTTAATTATACTTTTGAGTTTTTATTATTCTTTATTAATATTTTATTGAATTTGTAAACAAGTAGATTAGCAATTTGCATTTAATTATGTTTAAATCTAATCAATATTACTACAACTAAACATTTCTTACTGACTTCACAATATCTACACAGGCGATTAAACAATACTTATTTTATTTGTTTATTAGTATGGAGTTATTTCACTTGTAAATATATTTTGGAATATTAATCATTCTTTGTGTGTATGTCTAGTATGTAACGTATGTATGTACGTATATATATATATATATATATATATATATATATATATAAATGTATATAAATGGGTAGAACTGCCCTAGACGTTAGCTGAGTTAAACTCCAACTTATTCAGAAAAGAATAGTGTGAGATTTCCCATTGCTATTTCACAACACAGTACCAGAAATGTACTATTTTCAATTGAAAACAATTTTTGTCTGTATTTCCAAGTGAAAATTGGCATCGCTACTGCACGATGTCATATGGTCCAGAGCAAGATTCGAACACACGGCTCCGTCCTATACATGATATATAAACCTTAAAAACATTTCACTTGTATTGACGGAATAAAAAACCATCAATTTTTTTGGAAGGCAGATCTAGCGAGTTCGGAGTTTAAGAAAAAAAGTAAAAATAAATGCCATTTGGCAAATTTTAAATTTAAGATACTGGAAGTTTCAGCAATTTGCCTAAATACACGATACCATGCACCACTAGTTTGTTTTTTTCCTTTCGAAACATATTTAACGTTATTGACACACATGATTATGATATAGATATAAATCTAGATTTTTATTTCAATGAATCAAAGTGCCAAACTAAATTTTGTGATTATAATATTAAAATCTTCAATACAATAAACCAACTAAAAAAACAGTATCAATTTCCCATACTAATTCCAATATAGTCAAAAAATTCCAAAACTCATTATTTTCGAATTTGCATGTAAAATACTACAACAGCATAAAAATTCCATCGAACAAACTTCAAACGGCTTTATTAATGTCGTAATATTCTAAAGGTCGAAATGGAATTTGCCGCGAACGTTATCAAATTTGTTACCAAATGCGAATCAATCTCGCAAAAAATCGGTTATCGAAACTGAAGTAAAAATATGAATTATTTACTAAAGATTAAATTCGATAATGAATTACGGTACATACGCTTGCTTGTATAGAACACACATTATGCAACGTAGTTTCTGTTCTAATATATTACATTTAAAATACTAATAGTAATCATCATATTTTTTAATTGGATTCGCTAGAGCCATATGTTTTTTTTGACATTTTAATCGCCGTTAATTATTTACTAAAGATTAAATTCGATAATGAATTACGGTACATACGCTTGCTTGTATAGAACACACATTATGCAACGTAGTTTCTGTTCTAATATATTACATTTAAAATACTAATAATAATCATCATATTTTTTAATTGGATTCGCTAGAGCCATATGTTTTTTTGACATTTTAATCGCCGTTCTACATATTTATTGAATTTTATTAACTTCCCGTAAGGTCAGTTATAGTAATCGCAAAAAAATCAAATAAAAATAAAATGTTTATATATCTTTACGTTTCAGAAGTTCCTGAACATTTTGGCACACATAAAAAATGGATGTATGTGTGTATGTATATGTGTGTGTGCGGATTCAAATTTTTGTCGACGATTTCGGAAACACGGTTCAACCGATTTCAATTATTCAAAAAACATTCGATTCCTATTAATCAGGAGACGTGCTGATTATTTACGGGGCAAAAAGTGCCAATAACTCAGTTTTTAAGAGAACGAAGCGTCCGATTTTAATAATTCAAAAAACATTTTAATTGTATTGACAAGATGAAGAACTGATTAATTTTTTTTTGGGTAGGCAGGTCTAGCGGTTTCAGAAATCTAGTAAAAAAATGCCATTTTGAGGTCAAAAATGATCATTTATTTTATGGAGATGTTAATGTGTATCAATTTTGTTTACAATTGCGTCACGGCGCTTACGCGCTTCGATTTTGCGTCTCTATGCAGCTGAAGCAGTGCGATTGCTTTGAAAGAAAATTCAAAATTTCCAAAATATTTCAAAAGACAAAAACTTTTTTTTTCAAAGTTAAAAAAAAATAGTCCAGCAATTTGCCTTAAGGCACGATGCCATGCACCACTAGTTCGGCAAGTCTTTTCATGATTTTAGTGCAGTATCAAATAATGTAATTTATTAGAGCATTTATTTTCAAATTGCTTTTAGCAAGATACATACATGATTTGATATAGATTTTGAACAAATAATTAATGTGTTAACTATAACTATAAGTGTTAAAAAATCATAAATACTATAATGTTATTTTCAATTTTATTAACTTATCAATTTTATTGAAACGCATGGAAAACAATTGTTATATTAATTTAGTTAGAACTGGCATAAACACAATTTGCAGTTATAATTAATCTTGAAAATAACATTTGTAGAGATGAAACTTAAAAATTTAATTAGAGGAAAGAAATTAATAATGCCAAAGAAAATAATAATATTTGGTGCAAACACTATGTTGACTTTACAATTTACGTTAAAATAGTAATTATTTGAGTAATATCACTTTGAAACTGGCATAAGTGCTGCATTATGTTAAAGCGAACTTAGTAACTTGGCTCAGACAACGCACGCATGTACAAGGTCAAAAACTGAAACTATATATATATATATATATATATATATATATATATATATATATATATATATATATATATATATATATATATATATGTGCGTTTGTGTTTATGTGTGCATGTGTTAAATACACAGGTCAAAAATAAATATTGAGTTTAGAAAAACTAACCAACATTAATTTTGTTTGTGGCAATGTATTAAATGCAATTCAATAATGCAAATATACAGGCATTTATCAGATGAGAATATATTAGCAAGGTAGATTAAACCTTGTTAGCTTCCGCGATTACGCAAACGATATTCAGAATAGATATGTTAAAATTTCTGATTTCCTGTAAAATTCTACAGAAAAACTATTATATTGCGGAGGGCACGGTTGTAATGGCAGCATGATCAACTGACAAAAGTGATAGCAAGATCGTAATTCCTGTACATTGTTTAAAAAAAAAAACTAAGAATAATAGACAAAAGGGAATGGTTTTTGATTTTATAATGATATTTATTTATTTAATGATATATTCAGTCGCAATCGTTTTTGTTCATATTTGGACCATTGACTACAAGTAATATAATTGACTTCGACAAATATCTTTCAATAAAGTAAGAACTATAATAACTCATTTATTAATGAAAAATGGAACTAGCTACAAAAACCACTTTTTCCATATAGTACCGACAAATTGACAAAATCACTATTACTCGAATAAGTTCAGTGCTTTTAATATAGAGAATTGCAAATAACAATAAATAGGTCTCCAAAAAAACATAATGAAACTACCCTTAAAATAAACTTATGTAGGCGCGACACAATACTGTGTCAATGACGCTCAAGTTCAGACAAGATTGTGATTATGGCTTTCGTCATGTTATATAGTCGCAAAAACGTTAAGTTTTAACTAGACAATTGTTAAATAGGAACACTGTCATTTTGTCCATATTTCTCCTATATGACACAAAAAGTATATGTAAAACCCAATATAAGGTAGAATAAACAGTAGTAGAAAAATCTCAATAATGTAATATGGCACTATAAATGACCTACCAGTTAAATATCAAGATAAAGCAAAAGCGCTATATTTTTGTCGGCATCTCGAAAAAAGCGTTTTAGACACTGAATAATAAGGTGGTTTGGAAATATATATATATATATATATATATATATATATATATATAATGTGTAAGGTAGAGACATGGTAAAAATCATACAAATATAGTATTTTATTTTTGAAAAATGTATGAAAGTAAAAAATTAATTAGAATTTTTTCAAAATTGTGATATTGATCAATAATGTAAATAAATTCATAAGTAAAAAGTAAAATTTATCTGAAAAACTTTTAAATTCATAATTTGTTGGTATACTAAAATCACTGCAAAATAGTTAATTGTATCAAATTCGTTACACTGGTTCTGAACCTTTAGACTTCTATATCAACACGAAAGAAATTAATCGCATCAAAATATTTTAGCATTTATGAGTTTCCTTTTATTCATGTTTACCTAGTCTTCAGCAGTTTTAAATAAATTTTCAATTTATTATTT